AACAACTTAAAAATTTTCGAAATTTGCGCAGGGCTTAATTTACAATTTGTTATAAGGTAAAACTCTATCGGCTCTTAAATCTGTTTTCACTGAGTACCTAGACGGGACCAAAATTGAAAAAGGCGGATTTAGGCAACTTTATATAGTGAATTTTTCTTCTTGCTTTTATACCAAATTTCAACAAAGCATGGGAAGTGTAAAAGGATCACTGAGGAGTTTGAGCTAATGTAGAAGCTACATGTGAATATCTTTGCACTTCCACAGCACAGCCTACGTTAAAAACCTACAGACCCTAGGTCTAGGTTCCTTGATGAAAAGGACTAAACAACGAGCTGTGTGAGTTTCAGTGTGAATGAGGGGTTCATAAATGCTAGTAATGATTTCGGTGACTTTTTCTATAAATGCTGCAGACAAATTTTTGTCCAGTATCTTGTATGCTTGGATAGTAAGAATTGAAATGCAGACTCTGTTTGGGCAGAGTTCATTGCCCTTTAAACAAATGGGGCAAAGAAGTGAGATACCCCAATTTTCCACTGTGCGCAAGTGTGAGAAAAATTTTTTTGTCAAAGAATTTAAAATATGGTTACAATCTTTGATGTTATCCGCTATTACTCTTCACATCACAGTATGGAAACGAAGCTTGGAGACCGAAAGAACTGAAGATTTGGAAATTCAGCCCAGACATGACTGTCCTTTACGGCTAGTGGAAAATTCGAAATACCTGATATGGATAGAAGAAGCTTTAAACTACTTTCTCCAAAGAATAATGAATAACAAACAATAAGAAGTTCACTGAGTTCACTGAGAACAGGTGAGATTTGCACGTTAGAACGAAATTATTGTTTAGCTAACCCTTGCAGGAGCTGCCTATGTGTATCTACAGGTCTTCATCTGCACAGCTACAGAAGGAGAAGAGAAGAAGTAGGGCACATATGCTTAGAAAAGTGCAACAAAAGCCTTCGACTTCACATTCCTTGCAACAGGTGGGGTTTTACAAGGCAGTCGGGCACGAGGGCACTCGAGCATCTTGCACGTCGCAACCTAAGGCAGTTGATCCGAGTGCAAGCTGGCTGCGATAAGTTCGGCTCGTCTCGACCTCTCTCCCACCCTCGATTGTCCCTTCGCAACTTGGACAGGGCAGCTGCCCGGTGCTGTACTGACAGCGAGAGGCCGCTGCCATTACGGACGGGCCAGACACGACTCGGCAGGGCATCTGTGGCCACTCTCCGATCCACAAACTGCTCTCCACCTCTCTGTCACTAGTTCGTTCTATTATATTTCTGGCTGGCTTCGGATACTCATTCATTGTTTTTGTTGTTTATTGCAAAGTTCACTGGGGTCATGGTGTGGTCAGTCACATCACCAAGCACTCCGTTTTAGTGAGCACAGTAATCTCAAAATCTTCTTAGCGACAAAATTTTGATGTGTCAACTCCTTCCATAAGTATCCTTGTGAGCAGCTGATAACACGCATGTCATTGTACTTAGACTTTGGAAATCTCCTAAAGTGCTGACTTACCGTAATCCCCAAAATCTTTTTAGCTAACAATGACTTATTCTGGCGCAGTCAGAATTTACTTTTTCGAAATTGATAAATCCTCAATTATCTGCGTCCAAAACGCCCCGTAATACAATACATGTAAAGTAGATAATCTGAGAGACGAGAGAAATTTTACTCTCCCAATCCAGACACATCCAAAGTCTTTTCGAAGTCGAATTGAAACGTATACTCCATATCTGTTTTCAGTATCTGCTGTGCGCTTTTACGAAAAAAGTTATGAACGTTTGCCACCAAAACTTGCGTAGTTATGATGACAGGATTTACCAGTATCGTTAGAATGTTCACTTGCGCCCTACAAGAGGCGTCCAAGCAAGATAAACCTTTAGGTTAAGCTCAGAAAAACTGTTCCCTGTATATCAGAATTTAGAAAGCCTTGATAATGACGATTCTGACTGCCTAGATCTCACGAAAAATTAATGTGGAAGAAAGTTCATAACTTCGCTCATTGAGGCACAGCAGATACAGAGCACAGATTTGGAATCAGCGTTTCAAGACGCTCTAATGGTATACATATAACTGCAAAAGGTCACGGTCACTTAGTATCCTTCCCTTATTAGACAGAATATAAAACTTTTGGGGCCCCCCTTGGAACTCCTCGGTGATGACTGGAATGCCCGGTAGATCTAGTCCTCAGAAAAAGATTTTTCTCTCTCGCGCAATCTTTTATTTTTCGGATAGCTTTAGATCTCCATTTTAGAGTATGTGGTAGAAAATAGAGTTACATGATGACAGAAAAAATATCCGAAAAAATTTGACATCATTGACAAAATTAACATTGTTTATTCTAGTTTCTTTCTCTATAGACTCAAACACTCAACATTACACACCGAAACTAAGAATGCAACAGTCCATTCACAAAATCATCCCCCTTGATACAAATTCTGGGAAGACGTTCAGGTTGGAGCAGATTTGTGCTATTACTGCAAAAGCGACCAGCTGCTCGTTGAATGCAACAGGCTGCAGACTTGATTGAACTTTGAGTGTCAGCTCGAACTTTCCCTACACTTGGCTTACTCTTTGGATAAATCAAGTAGATGACTGTCTATTCTTGGTCCATTTCTTGCCCTTGGGTCTAGCCTCCTTTTCCCTCGTATTCTTTCTATGTTATGCCGCCTGCTGCTGCTGCTCCGGTGGTAGTTTACAATGCGAGGAGATGAGATCGATGCTTTGGCTTACCAGAGCCCCATGCAGTGTGTAAGCTCCGAATCACTCGAAGCAGCTCGGGGAATCATTGGGTTTGATCCGCTCCTTTTATACATTTAGAAATGTGCTGTACTTACAGAACATCGCGAAAGCTTCGCCGAATACATTTCCGATGCTGAAAAGCACTGCGATGACGAATGAATGCCTGCACAGCGATGGCACTACTACTCCTTTGCTGCGAAATTTCTTCTTTTACTCATCTAATGCGTCTTACTCATAGCTGTACCTCGCTGGAGCTTCGATTTGAATCAATAGACAATTTAGCCATCTTCGAGGCTGTACGGATAAATATACACACCGACATCTGTTTTCTCTGCACGTTGCCTCTCTCGGTGGCTAGTCTCGTCCTTTGTTAATTGGGGTCCCAGCGAAAAGTAGTCATTACAGATTCATCGAAAGAATGAATTTGTAAATGTTATAAATAATGATTTTGGACATTAAACAAGTTGAGCAGGCTCTTGACCTTGACGGGAAAATGCTTTTCAAATTGAATAGATTTCTAACAAAATATTTGGCAACGAGATTACGAGAACCGTATGTTATCTCTTACAAATTTCTCTCCATCTTTATTCTCTTCGTTATTTTTTTGAATAGAGCAAATTTTTTCTCTTTATTTTCGTCCTCAACCTTATCTATTTCATGCAGATTCATCATTTTCTTTTCTACTGCTTTTCGAATTTGCGAAGTTTACAGCATATGCCACTCATAATCTGCAACGGATACGCTGCACTGCTATCCTTTTTGAAATATTTTGTCATTTCTTCTAAGATAATCGTTCTTTGCCAGGGTTTGGCACAGCTGGCACCAGGTCAAGCTGAATGTCGATTTTGGGACAAAAAGCAGAGGGGATATCATTTTTGGCCGAAAAAAGACACGAAAAGTGCGACGTTCTTTTGGTAAGCGCTTCGTTTTGAGGGTTTTTACGTTTACGGTTTAGAGTCACAGGGGACTTCTTAAGAGATTTTCAAGATCAAAGGGGACTTCGTTTTGAAATTTCCTTGGAGGCAGCTCGTGCCGAGCCCTATGTTTTGCGTTCTTTGGTACAACTGCTCCATGATCTATTTCTATGTTTTGCTTCAGACTTGAAGAAAACAGCTCCTGTTTTCGATGATCTAAGATTGGCTCTCTGTGCTACAATCTAGAATTCTCTTATTTTGGAAGGTCAAAATCATATCGTAGAGCAATTGCATCAAATAAAATAAATTGTGACAATATGTAGTGCAGAAAAACGATGATTTTTGCAATATTTGGTTTTGCTTAAGATATTCGTTTGAACCACCAAAGCCAATCAGTCTTTCAGTTCTTAACAACGTGCATTACGAGCAAGCCACACTACCCCTTTCCTCCTGAAACATTTCGAGAGGAAAAGTGCAACGGAGGAAATTTTTTTTTGGCACGTGTAACAACTGCCCGCCGAATGTGGCTGCTGCCTCATGTCTGACGAATTGAGACTTTTGCAACGACTAAGCTCGTTGAAAGTGCACAGGGACCAATGGACTTCAGAGTGCAGAAAACTTTTTCCCCCAGATCCTCTCTTTCGTGCATTTTCGTGTATAGTGGCATATGTAATTAGTATTTATTTATACTTCTTTTCTTGAAGCAATTATAAAAAAATCGGTAACGAAATTTTTTTTGTGCCTTTTTTCCTTCAAGAATTTTTCTTGTACATTAGAACAGCAGAGATAAAAAAACAAAGCAGGATAAAATGTACATTGCCATTCTGAGCTTTCCTAACCCAAATTCCTCACATCAATCTTGAGTTTTCACAAGTATTCTTGCTATCCTAAATTGTGCAGATGAGTGAGTCACTCATAATGACTTCTTTTACAACATTTACGACACGATTGCAAAAAGATAACTGAACGTATGATTACCGTATAAATCAACTTTCATTCTAATTTTGATCTTTTAATAAATAGTACATGAGCATGTAAAGTCCGCTATTTGCCTGTCCAACTTCTGAAACCCTTATTCTCAAATCTGGTTTATAGCGTTCTTTCTCAAAATTTTTATCACGAAAATGATAGCAATTCCGCATGAAGGGCACTTGGAGGGGTTATGGTGGGTGTACGGTACGGGGTCAAATCGCAGAAATTATCTCATGATTTACTGTCTCACGAATGCTGCTCTCATGCTGTCCTCTAGAATCTTGCAATCTGCGGCTTTTCGTCTGAGATTCCACTTCTTCGTGTCTACAAATTTTCCATGTAGATGAACATATTTTCATTTTTTGTGCAGTTTTAGGGACCACATAGCCGGCGCCTCGGCGAACGGCGACAACGATGCTAATACCCGCGATCATAGCGGGTTTGTGCATTCTTGCCTTCGAACGACCGGGAAGGTTCGTTTTTTTTCTTCGCTAACTTACTTCTGCTAGTCTCTCTGTTAAACTCTCGAGTGTTCTTGGAAGATGTATGAGCCACTGCTTCGGCTGGCGATACAGCATCGGCAAGCGTTCAGGTGTGCGTATCGCCAGCAAAGAAGAGGGCATCTGTTGTTTGCTGGCGCGAGTTGGGAGTAAAGTGATGCATCTTACACATCAATCAGTATAAACAGAGCAGAGTGTCCCGGCAAGAAAGTGCGCAGCTTCGGAGGAGGGGAGAGGGGGGAATCGCCATATGAACGAACGATTTACTGCACTTTCTTCGTTTAGCTACGTTGTCGAGGCTGCTATCGCATGTAAGGGATGCTCACCCCCATGTATATGCCCTGGAACGAAGGGAGAAAAGGTAACCAAATTTTCTTGCCATTCTTGCATTGTCCTAATCAAATGTGCTTCAGGGTATCCCAGGCTACCCTGGCGAAGTCGGTCATCCTGGAGCGCCGGGTCTTGACGGACCCGAGGGACCAAGTGGAGCTCCGGGAATGATTGGAGCTGAAGGAGACTATGGCGACATCGGTCCGAAAGGAAGCCGAGGCGACCGAGGGCTCCCTGGTGCGCCTGGTCATCCTGGTCTACCCGGACTTGACGGGCTTCCCGGAATGAAGGGTGAAGAAGGAATACCAGGATGCAATGGCACAGACGTAAGCTCGACTCATTCCATTCGCACTCAATTTTCTAAAAATGAATTTGCAGGGTATGCCCGGCTTACCCGGAATTGCTGGACCACCAGGACCACCCGGACCACCTGGAGCACCAGGACGACCAGGATTACGGGGTCCTCCTGGAGAAGGAGGTATAAACTCTATCGGACGGAAAGGAGAAAAAGGAGAAACCGGTCGAGCTGGTATCCCCGGTGCACCCGGTCACGATGGAATGCCGGGTCTCAAAGGCGCCAAGGGAGATTCCGGACCACATGGTCCACCAGGATTCCCTGGTCCTCCAGGTCCAAAGGGAAGAATGGGTGTTCGAACGCCTGGTGTGAAAGGAGAGAAAGGTCTACAGGGACCTCCCGGTTTGCCTGGTCCACCAGGAACATTCCCCGGAGCATCTGCACCGGAAGAGATCGAAGTCCTCCAGGGACCGATTGGACCACCAGGTAAGATTTTTCTCTAAAGTTCACGTGAAACTCAGGACTTAATGAGATGTGATTTTTTAGGTGTGAAGGGAGAGAAAGGTCGTGATGGTCCGGTTGGACCACCTGGAATGCTCGGAGTTAGTGGCGCTGATGGCTACCCGGGACTTAAAGGACAAAAGGGAGATCCAGGAGATGCTGGAAACAGGGTACTCATAATTTTTTTCACTTAGTCTATGAACATTGCATGTAAAACACTTTAGGGCAAACGAGGAAAGGACGGAGTTCCAGGAGCCTATGGTGAAAAGGGATCCGTAGGAGAACAAGGTCTCCCAGGTGTCGCTGGTTATCCAGGACCTAAGGGAGAAGCTGGAGAACCTGGCTATTCTGGACGACCAGGAGTTGAAGGAGATGTCGGACCACCGGGAGTGTTCGGTGAAGGTCATGGAGCTGCTGGAGTACGAGGACTTCAAGGACAAGATGGAGTACCCGGTCCTAAAGGAGTTGCAGGAAAAGACGGTCTCATGGGTGCTGTTGGTCCCAGAGGACCGGTTGGAGCACCTGGACCTCAAGGAGCACCGGGACTGGATGGCCTACCTGGTTATTCCGAGAAAGGAGATCGAGGAGAGGATGGATATCCCGGATTTGCAGGAGAGCCAGGTTTTCCAGGAGAGGAGGGTGATTGTGGACCACCGGGAGAGGATGGTCCGCCAGGATATGATATCCAAGGTCCACCCGGAAACGATGGAATGCCTGGAAGGGATGGTTATCCCGGTGTTCCTGGAGAAGTTGGAGACGCAGGCTTTCCTGGAGAGAAAGGTTTCCCTGGTGCAGGAGTAAAGAAAGTTGGTCCTCCAGGTCAAATGGGACTGATCGGCCCACCGGGAGAAAATGGTAAGCGCATGTTGAAAAATCAGTTTTCATCAAAGTAAATCAAATATTTCCGAAGTTTTAAACTGATTTCAGGTCGAATCGGTACCGACGGTATTCCTGGACCACCTGGTGACAAAGGACCAGTTGGAGACAGTTGCGGCTATTGCCCTGATGGTGTTCCTGGTCAAAAGGGTGAACCTGGTGTACCCGGTATGGACGGTTACCCAGGACCACCCGGTCCGGATGGCGACAGCGGTGATTGCGGTTTCAAGGGAGAACCTGGCAAACCTGGACTGCCTGGTCCAGATGGCCTTCCCGTACGTTCTACTAAGAATGATGTTTTGTGAGTATAAGTTTGTTGCATTTTTAGGGATCTGTTGGTCTTCCTGGAATCCCTGGCTATCAAGGATTGAAAGGTGAAGCAGGAGAAATCATTGGCCCTATGGAGAACCCAATGGGAGTGGCCGGACCTAAGGGAGAGCGCGGAATCCCAGGTGAGCTTTCACTTCTTGGCACTATTACGAAATTTGAATCCACCTCAGTTGGAATTACTGTGAAACTTTCCTTTAAGAAACCAACTTTTTATCAATTTGTTTCTAATTCACCTTATGAAATTAGGTTGCGATGTTCAATATCTTTACAGGTCTTCCTGGACTGCCGGGTAAACCTGGCCCAGAAGGCCTTCCCGGACTTCCCGGTCCAAACGGACCACCTGGATATCAAGGAGAGAAAGGATTGCCTGGAATTGATGGAAAACGAGGAAGAGACGGACAGGTACATAACTTTTTTCGATCTCTACCCGAAGCCTACTACCAATGGGCATGTTACAGATGGGACAGCCAGGTGCACAAGGTCCTCCTGGTGACAGTTATCCGGGCGAGCCTGGTGTTGGCGGTGCCAAAGGAGAAATGGGAGATGTCGGTTTTCCTGGACTACCCGGTCCTCAGGGTCCTCCTGGTCCAGCTGCTCCTCAGCAGTTCTTCCAAGGAGAAGATGGAATGCCTGGTCTTGACGGAGTACCTGGAATGCCTGGAGAACGAGGGGCAGATGGCCTACCAGGCCTGCCTGGACAGGTCAGTGATATTGGGTATAAATTAAACATTGAGTGATCAAGCATTTCATATTAATTATTTTTGCAATAATTAATGACGATGAAAAAACTGACCTCAATAGACGAAATGTTTTGGCAAGTTTCCTTCGTCACTCAAGATTATCCTTGCCTCACCTTTCTTTTGATCTCCAATATTTGGCGAAAAAGTTCAGAATTGTTAATTTGGGTTTCAGGGTAGTTCTTCTGACAGCGCAGGAGAAGAGCATATTTTAATTAAGAAATCCCGTTCTAAAAGTTTATTCGCATACTTGAACGTTCTTCATTCGAAAAACGACAAAGTTGATCTCCTTGATCTCCAGTTTACCATTTTCTCTGCCTTCTAAAATCTTATATACTCGACATGAATGCTAGAATAATCAAAAATGTTAGTGTTGAATGTCTTCTGTCTGCGTCTCCGCTTTTTCGTTATTTTTCCAAAAAAGATCATAGCTTTGCATCACTATTTGATCGCCTCGATTTCTGCAATCAATTTCTAGAAGTATTTTTCTTTAAAAAATCGAAAATAGCCAATTTTAGAGTATAAATTTTGATGAAGCTTTGACATTTTGATTAGTTCAAGTAGATACCCTTCCCTTCTTCAAAAAAATTGTATCCTTGAAGATTTGCTCAAACCAGCCAACAGCTTTATTGTAGGGAATCTTTGTGTAACAACAGCAGCTGATGCTGACTCATTCGAAAGTGTTCTGTGTGATATGAAACCTTAGCAGGTACAACAAAAAACAAGGAGAGTTTCATCTAGCAAGTTGTGAAGGCACATTATTGACAGTTGCCGGAAATTATAAATTATTTTGTGAACGTAAAGGATGGCCACTATTTTCCAAAGGATCTACTGCTACCCAAAATTTGATTTTTGTACATCAAAATGTGAACGATTTTCAAATGGGATAATCCTTCTCAATTCTTGCGTTGAAGGTGGATGAAATATTATTGAGTGCAGCTAATGTAAGAACCACTCTCTTTTTAATTTGGCAAAAAGTTTCGTTCGTAATAAAATGTTCTTTCAAAAATGCTCAAACTCCGGCGAAGGGTAATAAGCGACATATAAGCACAAGGAAAGAAAAAAATTAGAAAATCGACAAAATACAAAAAAAACGTGCTTTAATGGCATAGAAACTTCTAACCTTAGACTATCAAAGGATGCAAACTCGGAATAATAAAATTCTCACTGAAATTGAGATTGTTTCAATTCCAGCCAGGACCACCAGGATACGCTGGATTGCCTGGAGAAAAAGGAGCTTATGGACTACCTGGCTTCCCCGGACTTCAAGGTGAACCCGGTCTCAGAGGCATGCAAGGTGATGTTGGCTACAATGGAGAAGATGGAGAGTGCGGCGAGGATGGAGCCGATGGACTTCCGGGACTGCCGGGATTGCCTGGTATTAGATGATTACCCAAATTGATTACCAGGTCAATATTTCACATTTAGGAGAAAAAGGAGCACCCGGATACGGTTACCCGGGAGCAGCCGGCTATCCAGGGCCAAAGGGAGAACCTGGAGAGGCTGGAGCACCAGGACTGCCCGGACAACAAGGACTCGCGGGTCTTCCAGGGACTCCTGGTTACCCTGGAGAAGTTGGCTTACCGGGTGCAGATGGAATGATGGGATTGCCAGGTCTGGCTGGCGAAAAGGGCTTGCCTGGAATTGACGGGAAGCGTGGACGTCCTGGACTAGACGGACGACCAGGTCTGCCTGGACTTCCTGGAATGAAAGGAGAACGTGGAGCTCATGGTTTGGACGGACAACCTGGACGACGAGGCCAACCTGGAGACATGGGAATGCCAGGATATCCTGGACCAGACGGTGCACGAGGTCCTGATGGATTGCCAGGAGAAGAAGGACTCATTGGATTCCCTGGACTTCGCGGAATGCCTGGTGACAATGGCTTGCCTGGACTAGAAGGAGCACGTGGTGAAGATGGCGACGTCGGATTAGACGGTATTCCTGGCGCTCCAGGAGCAGCAGGAGATGTAGGTGAGTGACTGAGTGCGGTTCTACAATTTGAGATTTTCAAAGATAACATGTAACCCATTTTCGCAGAACTTTTGCAAAAACGTTGTATTCAGGTCTTCCTGGGCTCCCAGGTGCGGATGGACTTCCAGGAGAAAAAGGAATGATGGGTGAAGAAGGAACTCCTGGAGCTAGAGGAATGCCTGGAGACGCTGGATATGTTTCACGACCTGGACTGCCTGGAGATGTCGGTTATCCTGGACCTGTTGGACCCCCCGGTTTGGCTGGTCCTGAAGGCGCCCCGGGATTGAAAGGAGAACAGGGTGAACCTGGAGACAGCTACCCCGGTCTACCAGGAGCTGCTGGAGCACAGGGCGAACCAGGTTACGATGGTATCGATGGAGCGCCTGGCCAACCTGGTCTCCCAGGCTTGACTGGAATTCCTGGTCTGAAAGGAGAGCCGGGAGAGCCTGGCTACGCAGGAGCGCCGGGAAGAGATGGACTGCCCGGAATACCCGGTTTAGAGGGCGAATGTGGAGACGATGGCTATCCGGGAGCACCAGGTCTACCTGGACTACCTGTAAGTTCTGCCATCCTCCTTACACTAAACCCCATCTTATGTGACATTAGCCTATGCCTTTTTAGGGCGCCCAAGGACGCGAAGGTGAAAAGGGATATCCAGGTATGCCAGGAGAAGCTGGCCTACCGGGTCTCCCCGGACAACCGGGACTTCCCGGCATGAAGGGTGAAAGAGGAGAAGCAGGGCTTCCAGGTTATGCTGGCATTCCTGGAGAAGCCGGACAAGTCGTAAGTTGTCTTTCCATACTTAAAGCATGACAGTAGTTTTTGCCTTAGGGCGATTTGGGAATCCCTGGAGCACCTGGAGAAGCTGGAGAACCAGGTCTAGCAGGCCGTGAAGGTCAACCTGGAGCGAAGGGTGAAAGAGGAGAAGCAGGTCAACCTGGTTACCCTGGAAAAGATGGGCTACCAGGCCCACCTGGTATGGCAGGAAACGAAGGTCTTCCGGGAGCGCCAGGGCAGGATGTGTATGGACAAGCTGGACCAGCCGGTCCACCTGGTTTACCTGGACCTGATGGTATCCCAGGACTACCCGGAATGGCTGGTGAACAGGGTATGGGAGGATACGCAGGATCTCCTGGGGCTCCGGGTCCTCACGGAGAGCCAGGACTTCCAGGTGTGCAAGGTGAACCGGGTCTTCTTGGAATCGACGGCAAGAGAGGTAGGGAAAACTTACCCTTTGGAGCATGGTGAACGCAACCAATATTTTCTAGGTGCCGATGGAGCTCCCGGAGCACCTGGAGCACCGGGCTTGGCTGGCATCCCTGGAGCGGAAGGAGATTGTGGCGATGATGGACCTCCCGGACCACCTGGTCCTGATGGAATGCCTGGCTACCCAGGTGAAAGAGGAGTACCAGGTAGGTCCAATACTTTGTTTGATAACAACAAAACCAAACAAACTGATCTTTTGCTAATCTAGGAATGCAGGGATATCAGGGTCAGCGTGGTGATGATGGCCTTCCTGGACTGCCTGGTATTCCTGGTGTGAAAGGAGAACGCGGAGAAGATGGTCTTCCTGGTCTTCCTGGTCCCGACGGTTTGCCTGGACGCGAAGGACCGCCAGGAATTCCAGGACCTATTGGAGCGCGACTAGAAAGCCCACGCGGAGAACCGGGAACACCTGGACGGCCTGGAGAAAAGGGATATCCTGGACTACCTGGAGAGCCAGGTCAACGTGGACCACCCGGCAAAGCAGGGTACCCGGGAGCTCCGGGAGAAGCAGGATTGCCTGGTCTTCCAGGAATCCCAGGTCCGAAAGGAGAAGCTGGTGCGGCTGGTCCTGTTGGATATGTTGGAAAGCTGGGTGCTGAAGGAACTCGAGGGCCACCCGGATTACCCGGAGGCCCAGGAGGTTGGGCGCCATCCAGAGGATTCACATACGCTAAGCATTCACAGACAACTCAGGTAGAGAAGAATTTGGGGTTTTGCTTCGTCTAAAGCTTTCTTTTGTAGATTCCAACATGCGCAGATGGTGCACCACCTTTGTGGACGGGTTACTCGCTTCTCTATGTACAAGGAAACGGAAGAGCGAGTGGACAAGATCTTGGTAAGCTAGATTTTCCTTAGTCGCCTAGAAGATGCCAACTCGCACCATTCATTTGATGGTCTTTTCCAGGTCAACCAGGTTCTTGCCTCTCCAAGTTCAACACCATGCCGTTCATGTTCTGTAACCTCAACAGCGTCTGCCATGTGTCAAGCCGAAACGATTACTCGTTCTGGTTAAGCACCGAAGAGCCAATGACTCCAATGATGAACCCAGTAAGCACTTCGTTATTGAATTTGGAATCTTTCGGAGCGCACATTTTCCAGGTCTCCGGCACAGCAATCCGGCCGTACATCTCTCGTTGCGCTGTCTGTGAAGTACCAACACAGATCATAGCAGTTCATTCGCAAGATACGGTAATCCCATCGTGTCCAGTAGGATGGAGCGGTTTGTGGACTGGTTACTCGTTCGTTATGGTAAGTTTTTTCTTACCTGAGAATGGGGAGGTTATCAACATCATCTCTAGAACGATCTTTCTGGATTAGCATTTGGAAGCACTCTCAATGGGGGTATTGATTATAATTACGCATACCGTACTCGAGGATCTTGATTGGTCCAAAGAGTACGATTATCGTGTGAGAGCCTGAAACTGATTACTAGTATAATTCTCATGTGATACCGGTTGATTGAGAATCTTGCAGTTGCGCAATCTATAAAATTTGGCAAAAACTGCCATCCTCGTGGACAACTGGTCCTTTGGCAATGCTGTTAGGTTTTTTGAGGACCAGCTATCGTGTAGGCGACCTTGAAGGCACCGTCCACCCAAAATGGGGTCAATGACATTTTTATGCCTAACAGTAGTGGGGCCCCTCAACTGTATACTTATCCAACTCGCGCTGGCAGAAGTTGCTTCCGAAGCGAGAAAATTGCTTCGAAAATTGCTCGGATGACGATTCGCCACGTTGGCTCCTCCCCTGTCGCCCGAGTGGGCGCGACGTTCGTCCCGCCCATCCGTGCGCGGCCAACCAATCACCTTCAGAAGAAATTGCTTTGCGGGTTGTGAAAACGGGGTTTTTTGGTGGTTTGCGCAAATTTCCAACTTGATATTTGGAATCAGGGGTATGAGAAGGCCCTTGAACGGCAAAAAACATGGAAGTCGGAATTTTGGGTGGACGGTGGCTTTAAATGGCGGAATCGTTTCCTTATCCCCATGCCTGGACGGTGCCTTAAAAAATAATTTTTGCGATGCAAAATTTGTGAGTGATAAGCGTCTTGATCATTGCATTTCAAGCTCTAAATATCAAAAAATGTGAAATTTGCAGCATACCGCAGCTGGCGCTGAAGGTACTGGCCAAAATCTGCAGTCACCCGGTTCCTGCATGGAAGAGTTCCGTGCGGTTCCATTCATCGAGTGTCACGGACGAGGAACTTGCAATTACTACGCCACAAACCATGGATTCTGGCTTGCCATTGTCGATAGGGTATGCTTACTTCTTCTCAGCTGGATTCATCCCAAAAATGCATCCTTTTTAGGACAAGCAGTTCCGCAAACCGATGTCGCAAACTCTCAAAGCAGGAGGCTTGAAGGATCGCGTGTCACGTTGCCAAGTCTGTCTCAAAAACCGATGATGATGTTCTCAAATCAATACTTATCTTCTTCATTGGTCACTACCACATCCATTGGCAAAGCCTTATGTTTAGCTGCTTTCTGGTGCCATATCTCAATAACTTTCAATACTGCCTTACCCTGCCCAACTTTGTTGCTTTATTAATGTTTATTGTGCAGAGTTTTTGTACCAAATGTTTGTTATCTATTAGCCTAATAACGTAATAATAACTGCCATGAATTCAAATCTGCCATTTGCAGCATTTCGAGGGCCTCTTACTGCCAAGTTCTTTTGTAGAAAGTGGACGTCGCAAAGTGTGTGATTGTAATGCACTCGATCATTGCCTTATTCTCAGATTTATATTAAAATACATGCAATCACAGTAAGTATATGTTGTGACTATGCACGCTACAAATCCACACTAGTATCGGGTTTCCAAAGAAGATTTGCCTTTGAAAGCACATTCGGGTTTCGAATAAGCTTCTTATTGGTGCGGGAACGAACTCCGCCAGTTTGGACGCCTCCGAGGACTGCTGGTCTGCAACGACATGCAGCAACATTGCAAAAGGACCAGTTGCCGGCGGAGGTGGCTCAAAGCATTGCGGAGTTCGTTCTCCACCAGCTTCTTATGTAAAAAGTGACCTGGTTTTACGCGGAAAGTATTAGGGTGATGAATAAAAAATGGGGCAGCTTGATTTTTATTGAATTTTGAGATTTTTTGTTTCGATCAACAACAAGCAGGCTGCAACGTAAATGTCGCTTATATAAGCGACCTTCGCCTATTATTCTGGCAAAGCGTCAACGCTCCTCTCCTACAACCCTACGCGTGGCGCCCTGAAGAACTCGAACAGGGTTTTTTGAACCTCGCTCATTCTTGCGCTGCCATACCGCAAAGTTATAGAACAATTGATATATCATTCGAAAGAGCTGTTCATGCTCTTTCAAACAGTTTATGAAACATACAGAATTTCTTTCTATTTCTGGGTGAAAAAAGCGAAATACCTGGAAAATCGCGATTTTTTGGCGCAACAAAAACCAGTAAATCAAGATTCAATCTGTATTTTCCGAAGATAGATAAAATGTGAGGTAAGCTGCATATGGATGGATAGAGCGTAAAAAGCTCTTTCATATGGTACCTATAAAATATGCGTTCACCTCCAAAGCATTGAATAGCACGTATCTTTGTTCTCAAAGCTGCTAATGGCCATATCTCCTGAATTTGAAAGTTTAGGCTTTGGCCATACTTTGCCCGTGTTACCGGTGTTGCCAGTGTTGCCAGTGTTGAAAGTGTTGAAAGTGTTACCGGTGTTGAAAGTGTTGAAAGTGTTGAAAGGGTTGAAAGTGGGAATCATCAGTCTTGCAGTTTCATTCTTCCTCGAACGATCTCACCGGCTGGTGAGTACGTCTGGGATGGAAATGGGAAATGAGAAATGAGACTGAAATGAAATAGGGAATGCTTTCGCAAAAGCTCCTCGAACATACTTTTTGGAAAGAGAAGGACTTGTTCTGAATAGGCAATCTCCAACACTTGAGATGTAAGTTCTAATGAGAATGCGTGTTAGTTGTCGAATCCGGCGCTTCTGCGATTAGTGAGCAAAAGATCTTTAGGAGGTCTCGCAGCGTTCTCAAATGTTGGAGATTGCTTCTTTTGAACAAGTCCTTCACTTTCTAAAAAATTTGTTCGAGAAGCTTTTGCGAAAGCATTTCCTATCTCATTTCAGTCTCATTACTCATTTCCCATTTCCATCCCAGACGTACTCACCAGCCGGTGAGATCGTTCGAGGAAGAATGAAACTGCAAGACTGATGATTCCCACTTTCAACACTTTCAACACTTTCAACACCGGCAACACTTTCAACACTTTCAACACTGGCAACACTGGCAACACCGGTAACACGGGCAAAGTATGGCCAAAGCCTTACACCAGCAACCCATCGTGGGTCTGGTGAGTGTACCTTCACGCATTGCAGCAGTAGTACCTTGGATGGTTTCGGATGTTTCACTGCGCAGATACTGCTCGAAGTTTATAATTTGTCAAAGTGACTAAGGCTTTGGCCATACTTTGCCCGTGTTGCCGGTGTTGAAAGTGTTGCCGGTGTTGAAAGTGTTGAAAGTGTTGAAAGTGTTGCCAGTGTTGAAAGTGTTGCCGGTGTTGAAAGTGTTAAACTGAGATCATCAGTCTAGCAGTTTCATTCTTTCTGGCTTTGGCCATACTTTGCCCGTGTTGCCGATGTTTCCAGTGTTGCCAGTGTTGAAAGTGTTGCCGGTGTTGAAAGTGTTGAAAGTGTTGAAAGTGTTACCGGTGTTGAAAGTGTTGCCAGTGTTGAAAGTGTTGAAAGTGTTGCCAGTGTTGAAAGTGTTGAACGGAGATCGTCATTCTAGCAGTTTCATTCTTTCTCGAACGATCTCACCGGCTGGTGAATACGTTGGAAATGGAATTGGGGAATGAGAAATGAAACTGAAATGAGATGGGGAATGTTTTCGCATGCAAAAGATCCTCAAACAAACTTTTTGGAAAGTGGACGGCTTGTCTGGAATAGGCAATCTCTAATATTTGAAAACGCTGCAGACCTCACTTAGGTCCTTTACTCACTAATCGCAAGCAATGCAGGATTCGAACTAAAACACATTACTACTCAGTCGTCAGCTTTCTCAAATATTGGAGATTGCCTATTCCAGACAAGCCGTCCACTTTTCAAAAAGTTTGTTTGAGGATCTTTTGCATGCGAAAACATTCCCCATCTCATTTCAGTTTCATTTCTCATTCCCCAATTCCATTTCCAACGTATTCACCAGCCGGTGAGATAGTTCAAGAAAGAATGAAACTGCTAGACTGATGATCTCCATTCAACACTTCCAACACCGGCAACACTTTCAACACTTTCAACACCGACAACACTTTCAACACTGGCAACACTGGAAACATCGGCAACACGGGCGAAGTATGGCCAAAGCCTCTCGAACGATCTCACCGGCTGGTGAGATCGTTGGAAATGGAATTGGGGAATGAGAAATGAAACTGAAATGAGATGGGGAATGTTTTCGCATGCAAAAGATCCTCAAACAAACTTTTTGGAAAGTGGACGGCTTGTCTGGAATAGGCAATCTCCAGTATTTGAAAACGCTGCAGACCTCACTTAGGTCGTTTACTCACTAATCGCAAGCGCGGCAGGACTCGAACTAAAGCACATTACTACTCAGACGTCAGCTTTCTCAAATATTGGAGATTGCCTATTCCAGACAAGCCGTCCACTTTGAAATAGGCAATCGTCCACTCTGGAATAGCCAATCTCCAATATTTGAGAAAGCTGACGTCTGAGTAGTAATGTGCTTTAGTTCGAGTCCTGCCGCGCTTGCGATTAGTGAGTAAACGACCTAAGTGAGGTCTGCAGCGTTTTCAAATACTGGAGATTGCCTACTCCAGACAAGCCGTCCACTTTCCAAAAAGTTTGTTAGAAGATCTTTTGCATGCGAAAATCTCCTATCATTTCAATTTCATTTCTCATTCCCCAATTCCATTTCCAACGTATTCACCAGCCGGTGAGATCGTTCGAAAAAGAATGAAACTGCTAGACTGATGATGATCTCCGTTCAACACTTTCAACACTGGCAACACTTTCAACACCGGTAACACTTTCAACACTTTCAACACCGGCAACACGGGCAAAATATGGCCAAAGCCTAACTTTGCATTTCAGCCACTACAAAAATTATTAGGTATGTAAATGACCATATATAGGTATTTTGTGAAAGAGAATAATTTATTCTAACATCTATCAAAATTGGGAAGTTTAACCATTTTTCTTTTTTAAGAAATCTACATTTATTCTCTAGGTGCCCCATTTTTTATTCATCACCCTATATATATATACCAGTCCAAAGCGCCGCTTCGCGGCGCTTTGGACTGGCTGTGTGCGAAGTGGGATATGCTCAAAAGTTAGAAGCTTTAAGGTTTTCTGGTGTGCCTTTTCCCCTCAGGATATATGAATAATAGACTGTGTCGCTTGCGCACTATCATTTGGCGCATGCGTGAAGTTCTTCATAACTTTTTGCTCGTAAACAGAATGTGTGCAAGGATTTTTGATTGGAAGTCTGGCTGATCTTGTTCATATCTTGTAAGTTTCGTAACATTTATAGTCATGCTATGATGATCTCAAGCTGCCTAAAAATCTCAACTGATAATGACTTGAGCATGGAAATTGTGGAATTGGAGTTTACAGTATAGAAAACAACAGTAACAAAAATACGGCATGAACAGGGAAAAAAGCATTGGAGCGAATAAGTGGTTATGTCGATTGACAACATTAGTGCGGGTACCTTAAACATAAACGCAGAAGTACATTTTTATAGAGATGTCCAGTATTTTACCATTTACGTAAAGAAGCAGTCAGTATTTAGGTAACAACAGCAACAGAAGTAGTAGTAACATGTGAGAGATAATAGCAAGTCTTAGGGTAAATAAGTAGCTGTGACAGGTCATTTTATAATGGTAACTATCCTGTAGCGATTACTGAGCAATTTCCGTTTTTGCAAGCGCATTGATACAAAGTATTTCAGAAATGTGCAAGGACGCAACCGCATCTAGAATGATTTTCTTATGGCCAAGGCAGGTGCTCATTTCAGTGGGGTACGCTACTATCCAATCCATCCACTCCGCAATTGATAATTTAGTAAAAACTCGTGTTGCTTGGAGCGAAATGAGTGGAGCGGATAGAGCGAACAATTATAGCACGCGTCAAACCAAAGTTGTCTCATACTAAGGCACATTTCATTTGTAGGAGCCATAACATCTCGGCCTATTTGTAAGGTGTACTTCTATACAGATAAGTGTTATCAGTTGAGAACCGCTCTGATCACAACATTTTTCACTCTTTCCTGTTTTTTGTGGACTCTAATTCCTTCCATTCGTCGGGCTCTAGATAGGGCCACATATAGCTGACCGTGCGAAAATACCTCAGACTCAAGGGAGATGCCCACGCTAGTGAAGGTCTGTCCTTGAGCCTTATTGATCGTCATAGCGAATGATAAACGGACAGGGAATTGTCTTCTTCGCAATCGGAAAGGTACTCCTACTTCAGTGAAGATGTCTATGCGTGGTATCAGCACTAATTTTCCTTTCCTATCCCCTGATGCGAACCGACATCCTAGGATAAAACGCCCAAAATGAGTGACGATCAGTCTTGTCCCATTGCATAGCCCATTTCTAATATCGAGATTTCTCAAAAGCATGACTATCGAGCCCTCTTTCATCCGAAGATTATGAGGAGGCATCCCAGCAGGTGCTAAGCTGTTGAGAAATTCGGTCGTATATTCGTTCTGTGGTTCATCGCTAATCACATCGTCAACGCTCTTATACT